GCATGTAAGCTACAAAAACTAATCCTGGATTTAATTTTTAAATTTTTACTTTACGCCCGTTTAGCGAACCGAAAGTGAAAGTCCAATTTCGCAGCGTCGTAATTGTAACTTAACATGTTTTTCAACAAATTTCAAAAGTATAATCTAGAAATATCACCTCGCCAAACAAAAATTGCACCGATCCTCTCTGTATTTTTGCATAATCACATGGGCGAAGGGCTCGGCCTTCATGATAACAGATCCTTTCTTCCAACCCATTGTGACTTGTGATTGCAAACAACACCTCTTTCAAGAGATGCACCAGCAGCAAGCAGCAAGCCTGCTTTCTTGCTTCACTATTCTGTCTCAGTTGATTGGCTTATTAGCTAGCGAAGGGGAGACAACCTTGCAATCCGGAAACAGAGCTAAAAAGTAGGTCAAAATAAACTATTCGTCTTTTTCGTCTTTTTCTTCGTGGAACGATACGATCTTTCCAAGTGACACGACATATTAATTAGTTTAGATTTTCTTCTCTGCCTCTTTCGCTTTCACCCCCCCCCCCCAAAAAAAACAAAAACAAAATATTCAAAGCCTTTTTTGTGGTTTAATTATACACGCTTGTGGTTTAACTATACATACCCACCTCTTGTAGCGATCCAACTTGTAGTGACTGGTAACAACTCTCTGCTCTGCGCCTCGACTGCGACTCACGCGGTCTCCCGCAGTCTGTGGCTCACGCCTCGGCCTGCGCCTTGTTCAGACTCTTCTTCAATGTCAAATAGGTAACCTACTCGATTACTTTTCCGAAATCAACCAACTAACTTCTCGCCCTCGGGCCCCGTGATATCAAGATCAAACAAAACAAAATTAACAACAACAAAAACTTTCTGAAGTTCTTCAACGTGCAAACAGGACATGGTTCTACCCTATCTACACTTTGTACACTTGATTATTCCATTTACCAACCGGCGGTTTTCCTGACTCGATCAGGATACAGCCTGGGAGGGGGTTCGCCTGCACCTTCGTTTCTCGTCAGGGTCTGCAATGGTCTGGGGCTCAAAAATAACAAATATGCCAATCTCATGAAATTTTTCAATTGTTGGGGTCAATTAAATTCCTAAAATAAAATAAAATAAAAAATCAGAAGGAAGATTCTATGCTCAACAATAAATCTACAGGACTCTAATCGTCATGTTTTGCATCAGAGGGTTTTTTTTATACAGGGCCCAAAGAGAAATACTTTTTTTCATCACTGTACTGTACTAAGATTTTTTCAAATAAATTTTGTTTGGTTGCTGGCCTGCAGAAGTGCCATACACAGATTCCTGAATGAATCAGAATTCGATATTCTCAGTGCCTAGTATTGAAAGGTTTTTAGCTTTAGTAAGAGTTTTACGGCACTTGCAACGCAATACAGTAATAAAAGAGCCGAAGATTAGAGGTGTTACAAGAGAGTAACAAACATAAGTAAGAAATAGAGATTTTAAATACGAAAGAAAAAGCAAACCAGTCCCTAACCCCCTAACCCCCTATTCAGTATTAGATCATTGTGTCATCGATTCGACCCTGGCATTATTCGCTACGCTATAGTAACAAACAAGTCACAATATGCTAGGTTACCTTCCAATACTGACTGTAACCTGCAAGTCTAGTTATTCGATTTTTTGTCGATTGATTTTTTGTTTTTATTTACATTTTATAATTACCACCAAATTTTACGAAATAGCATAATACCGCCATAGAACACATTAAGCCATTAAGACTTGAAGTGAAGTGACAAGGGACCACCTAACACGTCATTCATTTATCAAATATCTCGATTCGTTTATATAGTCGGTGTACAAACAATTGTTATATTATGGTTTTGCTCAAAATATTTTCTGTGTCATTTTGTTCATTTCGAAAAAATGTGCTTTCTAAGGGCTTACTAAGGTGTGAAACATTTCCTAATATTTCTTCATTTGACAGTTTTGCTGGATTTGTCTTTCACTTATTAAAGCGGCTTTTCTGTTTTTCTGCTTACTGTTGTTTAACAAGACTTTTTAAGGTAATCGTTTCCCTTACTCAAGCACTTATTTCGGTTTGCTGTTACTTACTTCATAAAAGAGTCCTCTAGTATTGTGTCTGAGTGTTCTACCTTCAAAATCAACTGTGTTTTGTTTCTTTTAAGTCTGAAACAGTTTACTTGTTAGATGATGTTGTGTTATAAAAAAAAGATTAGGCCAAACAATCGGCTAATGAGACTCGGGTGGAGCAAGGGCTGGAGATGGAGGGAAATGACTGAGGAAATGGCTTTTTGAAGGAATACTTTACAAAGATTTATGGAATCTGGAGCCTTTATCCAAGTATTCAATATTATGTGTGAACTCTCCCTCTCTCCTGCCTATCCTCCGCTGCCTTTTCTCTCTGTCTTTCTCTTTCTCCCTATACCTGTCCTCAGAGAAAGTTGCATTTGAAAATAGAAAAAGTTGCAAAAAGTTGCAAGAAAAATTAGCAAAAGTTGCAAGAAAAGTTGCAAGACGTGTATAGCTAAAACAATGCCTCGGAACTATTGGAATACATTGTTGCTATGCTCATTGCAATCAAAAGTAACCAATATGACTTTTGTTAGATCAAAATCAGAAATTAAATGTGAATATCTACAAAAAAACACAAATAAACTGCATGGAGGTTGCATGGTGTACAAAAACAGTTTGTCCTCTGACACATGCGCCAGGCCCTTAAACTCTCGCTGACGATGGGCAGGTGTG